CATCAGAGAACGTAAAGATAAAGCAAGATATGATCCAAGATATGTTGGAAGCAAGCAGCGAGTAGGTTGAGCTATGGTGGTGATCAGTTGTTTTTTCCCTTTTCATCATAAGCACCATTAATTTCTGATTTCCTGTTGTGGTCAGAAACTTCAGAACCCGTATTCAGCTCAAGAGAGAGAGACGCACAAAAGACCAAAACTGGGGCGAGGAAGAAACCAAATAAACCCTCCCCTTTCAGGCTCCAATCTCTAAATTCATGCCCCATTTAGTGCAAGTTGAAGCACATCGCCCATTGGTTGGGGGGTTTAAAGGTCGGTCAGTCTCTGAGCCAGGGAGCTGTGCTCTGTGTTGTTGCTTTCAAAGGAGTATAGGAGGAAGAAGTGGATCAGAGCTAAGCCCAAAGTCTCATGACATTAATAATTAATGGTTATCTGACGGTTAAGTTGTTAAGCAATAATCATTAATTTCTTTTTATATGTATTTCGGTTACGGTTAAGTGTATTTTGTTTCATTCCCAAAAAATAAAAAAGTTGTATTTTGCTTAGTGGTTAATTGCTAACCATTCAATTAATTAATGGTTATCTGACGGGTTTTGGAAAACAAAGGCAGGGCTAAGCCCAAAGTCTCATGACATTAATGGATCCACTGGGATACCAAGCTCGCTTTCGTAAGCTCAGCTTTTTGCCTTTTTTTCTCCACGTTCCGACAGGGCAAATACAAACTGCAATAGCGTATTCAATTTTCAGGGACATGGTTGTTTCTGTCCTTTGTAATTGTACCTGTGCTATCCTTTTTGTTTTATTAAATGACAGAGACAGAGATGTATTAAATAACTAGGCAGGGAGGGGGGAAAAGAGGTCCCAGAAAAAAAAAGGGAGAAACATCCTCAGGAAAACAAAGGCTAGAAAGGAAATAATTTCAAAACAAAGAATAAGATAAAGTCCTAGCTAGCTGAACAAGACAAGTGCTATCCTTTTGATCCTCCAATTGCTGGTATGTTAGTCGGTACAACTGGATTTAACGGGTATCGCGGTTATAATGTTGGCTGGAATTCTCTATTTGTATTCCCGATCAAAATCGGTAAATACTGATCGCAATCAAAACAACAGTGGTCCAACTAGTATATTTTACTTTTCCTAAATAAAACGACATTGTTTGGTGAATTTGATTAACGTAAAATTGTACTTAAATATGAGTTTTTTTTTTATTATATTATGTAATGCATTTTATTTAAATATGAATATTGATGTTATTTGTTAGATTCAAGTATAACTGGTTCGATATTGATGTGAAATGTCATATTTAAATAGGATACTTTATAATTTTGTATGTAACGTTGTTTTTTTACGTTGTTTTGGAGAGCTTGGTTTATCATTAAGTTGGTACTGAAAAGCCTATACTTTTTTTACCAGAAATATCTCCTTTGTTTTGATTTTCATGATGCATGCAAGGCACGAAGGAATATAGCCCCCACAATTACTACTCTCTTTCTAACCGCTTGCAATAATAACAACTTAAAAAAAACACATATGTAGAAATTTATAGAAAAGTAGGTATTCTTTTTTGACAAATGGGTATTTAGGTTTTCAATTAGTTATTTTGATAGTACTTTGTCGAAGTGTTTAATGATTATCCAATGAACTGACAAAATAATCGAGAATTGACTAATATAAACATACGGTTAATAATAAACACAATGTGCTTAAAGATTAACAGAGAATTGACTAAATGACTCCAATTATAACTAAACCGAACAAATTCTCCGTCCTAAATAGCGTATTCAATTTTCTTTGTTTCGGTCTGTCTACCTTGGCGCTCCTTTTTTGTTAAATGCACAAATATGTTAGATAGCTAGGAAGGGAAGGGTAAAAGAGAAGGTCCAGAAAAGGAGAAACATACTCAGGAAAACAGAGACTAGAAAAGGAAATAATTACCAAACAAAGGTTAAGATAAAATCCTAGCTAGGTGAACAGGACAAATTATGAAAGGATCAGCTAGCATGTTTAACCAATTTTTTTTTGGGGGCAGCCCAGGAGTTATGCTTAATCTTCTTTCTCTAAACAAAATGACATTGTTTTCTAAATTTAACTAAAATAAAGTTGTATTTATAATGTGTTTTTATTTAAATGTAAATGTTGATCTTATTCGTTGAATTCAAGTCTATGTGTTTTGATATAGACGTTGAATGTGATATTTAAGTAGAAGAATTTGTAAATTTTTATTTGTGGTATTGTATTTTATATTTAAATATATGAATGTAAATTGTAGAGAGATTATGTTAAGATAGGTTATTTCACCCATAATTTACCGTTGTAGTAACTTTCACCAACTATGAGTTGAATTACTTTGTTTTGTAGTGCTTCATTTATCTATCTATCATAAAAATTGATACTGAAAAGCCTAGTGTTTTTATCAGAGGAAGATATCCTTTGTCCTGATTTCTTTCTTGACGCAGGCATTCACCGCAGTCAACAGGCTGGAAACAACCCAGCCCGCACAGCAACAATTCCTCTCTCTCTCTCTCTAACCTCGTTTCTTCCCATTCTCTCACTTACGCAAATTCGATTCGTTCCTCTTCTTCCGCCGACGAGCTAATTACCCAATTTCCTTGATGTTTTTACCCCGGCCGACGGCCATGTCGTCGTCTTCCGATCCTCCTGCGCCGGGTCCTGACGACCCTTGTTTCTTCGACCAAGGTACGATTCTCGCCTCTCCGTCCTTACAGTACTGCTCGGGCGCCGCCGATGAATTTACCCTAGATGTAGACACAATGATGCTGGAACTAGAGAATCTGTCGTCGGCGAATCACTTCTCCGAGCTATTCAGTTTCCCGTCGTCCTTTGAGATGGCTTCCTCTTCCGATTCTACCCCTCTTGGTGGGTTCTCGGAGACCTCGAGTAGCCGCAGTACCATTTCCTCCGACGGGCCGCCAATTCCTCCTCCTCCTCCTCCGCAGCAACATCGGGTGATTCCGTGGGCCTCCATGTGGGCCGACGATTCGGCGGCTCCTTCCGACTCCCTGGTGATTGGCCCGGACAAGGTCTCCACGTTGAAGGCCCGCGACGTTCTGAGTTTCGTACAGTCTGTGGGTTTGCCGGCGGATTGGGAGTACGCTGCTCCTTCCGAGCACTCCCGCATCGGGAACTGTCCCGAGGGGTGGGTCGGCGTGTACAGGGAGTACTGGCGGATGGGTCTGAAGCTGCCACTCGACCCCCTTCTGGAAGAGATCGTTTCCATGTCGGATTGCACCATCGGCCGTCTGTCTCCTTCGTTGATCCTCCAGACCGTGGTGTTCCGCCTGGTTTGCAGGCGCCTCGAGGTGACGCCCGACCTGCGGCTGTTCCGCTACATGTTCCAGATGACGGATGATAACAAATGCCTCAGCGTGGAGCGTCGTTCCAGTTCGGGCAAGGGTTACGTCCGGAAGAGCCCCAAAATGTCCAAGCTTTGGTTCTCGGCTTTCTTCTACCTCAAGCCCACGCCCGGTTCGTGGACGAGACACGACGGGACGACTCCCTTGAGAACAGGGTGGCACGTCGGCACCAAGGATGGTTTCAATCGAACAATCCATCTGCAGGAGGAGGAGAGAGGTCTCCTCGATAGGCTTCTCAAAGTAAGAATCAATGTGTCCACGCCTGCGATGCGCGTCCAATTGTTGAAAGAGTTTTTTGACGATGGTTAGTAATTAATTAGTCTCTAAGCGCTAATTAATTAAGTCATATATGTATATATATAGTCTCTCTCTCTCTTCCTCCCTCCCTGATGTTTTGTTGGATTTTCTTTCGTTCGCAGGCCTGGATTACTCGTCGGTACGCTCACAAGTGCGTGCTATTAAGCCTAAGGCAAAGACCACTCCAAACAAGAAAGTTGGGGCAGAAACTGATCATGTCCCTGCAGCCTGCGTTGGAAACGTGTTGGATCCCACGATTTCTCCACCGTGCCAACAAGTAAAGAGCTTCTTCCGACCTCATCAGCCTCTTGTTCTAATTTCTTTGCACGTTCGATAGAGGTCATTGAGAGATATATTAATTCTTGTTGTGCAGAATCAGATAGCAAGTTCGTCTCAGCAATCGCCTTGTGTTGCCGAGTTGATGGCTTGTCTCGAAGCCTCGCTGTCCAAACAGAAGGAGCTGGCCATGGCTTGCCAAGCAGCGCAAACCCAAGCCGCCGTGCTGGCCTCAAAGTTGTCCGACGCCTGGGAGTCCGAGAAGAAACGGTGTCGTGACGAGGTATTCTCCGAGCTGCGAGAGGCATTGAAGAAAGAGTTCGACGAAGCTGTGGCCAAGCTCGAGGCTTCTTACAACGACAATCTGAAACGCCTCAAGTCTCACCACGCTGAGGTGGAAAATGCTTGGGAAGTTCGTGCTCAGGAGATGGCGGCTCGTGCGGCCGAAGAGGCCAAGGAGTCCGCCATGAAGGAGTATCGCGAGTCGGCGGAGAACGCGACGGCCTCTACTGACTATTATTCTGTGGATGAAGAGGAAGAAGAGGTTGCATCTGAGCAGGCAACGTGAGATTTGGGCTTTTTACTTTTACCCATCCACCTCATTTACTTTTTCTCGAAAGAGGTTCGTTTTTCCTCGGAGAACTGAAAAAGGTTTCGGTCGACCGTGACTCCGCCCGTCAGTATATTTTAGTGACGGTGCGAACGTCATTATCTGGAAACTGACCATCGTTAAATGTAGTATTGCCAGGCAGGGGTGAACATGGATCGGGTGGTCCGGGTTTAGCTATTTTAATCACCCTATCCATGCACTACAATTTGAAAAATATTAAGCCTAAACCCACTCAAAAAAATTAAAACTCTATGGATTATTTCTAATTGGGTTGGTAATATTTTTAAGTAAAAACCCAACTCAACACAAAATATGTAATTATTCTACACCATAAAAATATTTTAAAACTAATTAAAATTTCAAACGAATAAACCCAAATGAAAGATATCAAAGTTCACAAATATTATTTAAATTTTATTAAAATGTAATTTATTTCAACATATCTCTAGTTTTTTTCATGGCATTTGTTGAAATAGGATAAAAATGTGATAAACGAACGTATCCATAATATGTTATTCTATTAAAATCGTACACAAGAAAAATGATTACGTGAATCATAGCTATATTAAATCTATGTCTAAACTTTAACTCTAAAAATGCATTAGATTAGTGCTATCAGTCTAAAGTTCAACATTCTCTCACAAGTCTACGACTATCGTTCACAGGCCAGTCCAGTTCAGTCCCTCTTTAGCTCCTAAAACCCACCAAGTATAGCAGTGCCCTTTGAAGCAGCAAAGACGACTCCAGCACTGCAATAAACAATAAGAAAACGACCAAAAATTAACGCATTTCCTAACAAAGACCAAGAACAAGCCGTAGTAACACAGCATATGTATAGAATAATCAGAAAATTTAATGATTCCTAATGATAGAGGCAAACCGTATGCTTGAAGACTTAAGCATAACAACATCAATAAAAGAATGTACAATATATAAAACATCAAAAATTGATCACGAAATGGGAAGATAGGTGCACCACCAGTTCAAATAGAACCTTTACCAAGGCATGTTGATCCAGCTGCAGATGAAGCTAAATGGTTGGAGTTCTTTAATTTAGAATCTTTCATGTACTTTAGAATGGGAGTAGAGACTAGAGAGAACCTACCTTGATGGTAGTCATTAGTCAACCACAAAGGTCAGGATACAATGTGGGTAATTCCACCCGTTATCCACAAAGCCTTGTATGTCTGCAAAAAAGAAAAAACAGATTGATCCCATAATCAGTATTGGATCCTGTAAGACGACAAGGAAATGGTTTTTGATCATTTAATCTGATCTAAATGAGGAAAGTAACGTAACAGTTTGCCATACAATAGAGATTTAAGAAACCTCACCAGTGTATTCGGAGGATCTTCATAGTACCATCAATGGCTAAAACCAACAAATAAGCGATCAGCTGCCATTAAATAAACAAACATCACATTCTTCCCAATCAATTCCCATGATGGAAATAATAGCTTCATGTTCATTACATCAAACTGTGAAAAGGATGGTGAAAGGAAACTTCTGTTTTGGAGAACCATTTTCCACGTTTAACGAGAGGCTCAGTAAAGTTGCTTTCTTTCTCAATGGGCTCACCAGAACATAGAAGGCACAGAAACCAATGTCGGTGCTCCAGATGTGACATAGACATGTTGAGATGGTGGAAATCCAAAAATGGTGCCTGGAAACAGTCTCCATATAGGGTTTGGGATTCAAAATTCACATGTGAGACAGACATGAACATAAATTAAGCTAAAAAGAAGGATTAGTGAGATCCTTACTGAAGGAACAAGGAAAGAATTCGATAACAGGAGCAGACCTTATCACTACACTGAATATATATGTTGTCGGAAGGTAAAGAACTCTCAGACATAACCTGCAAAAGACATGGGCATTCCGAGAATGAAACGATTAGGGGAATTAGGAATTGCTATTACCAATCATTCATTGCTACATAAAATAAGGTGAAAACATCAATTAAGAGAAAACATGATTTATTAAATCAAATAGCAAACAATGGAAAGAGAGAAATCACACCAACTGTACCAATTGCTTTTCTGGCTTAATTTCACATGGAAGAAAGTCAAAGTCACAACACAAACAGCTACAAACAGCTATCTATAATCAGGATAGACAAGTATGGACCTCGACCTCTGCATCCAACGATTCACAATGTCCCCATGAGGCCATGAGGGTAAACTCCATACTTTGCAGTAGTTTATTAAAAATGATCAGCACATGAGACATTAGAAGTGGATCATATATGCTTCACTAGTGTCAACATAAGAGAACCCAGCAATGCCCTCCAAAGGAAACCACAAAACCAATTCACCGAGTTCAGGATCCCCAATTCACTGCCAGCAGTTGTATACTCAACTAATCTCAATGCTCGACCTTAGTTTGATCAACCACAACTCACAACCTTTCTCCGGCCCTGTGATTTTGCTTTTGTAACCCAGTCCAACGGCTGAAGCCTGTTTTCCTCTTCTTAGTCACAACTTTACGATTCTGCACCAAACAAGCATAATAGTTGAGAGTATTAATTGATAAATCTGTTTCTCTCTCGATCAGTTTTCAATTGAGAAACTTATACTTTATCCACGGGAAGCTGCATGATCCGGATCCCCCATAAGCTTTCACTATCGTGAAATAAAAATAAGGGATAATGAAAGAAGCCAAGCAACTAAGTGCAGTCTACACAAATTCGTTCCTACTTATCAAGCAACTAGTAGTATAATCTTGGTGTCAATTTCCATGTAAAAAGTAGAAACTTTACTTTGGCTAGCATTCTCTAATGATTCTTTTTTCCAAAACAACAAGGATAGGCGGAGTAGCATATATTGCAGCTAGTATTCAGCATTTATTTACCCTTGTTGCTGTAAACAGTAAACCTCTTCATTGTAATCAAGTATAGACTCTTACGTGGAAATATATGATTGTTTTAGATTCTTTTTCCGTGAAGAATGTGCAGTAGAGTGAGGGGAACTCAAAGACATAAACAGCTCCGAAGTGAATGAACAAGACTTAGAAGATAACCTGTAACCAGAGCAGAATGCTCGGATCCATCTGCAATCTGCCTGACTTTTACTCCATCGGATATCCAAATTCTCTCCAAGGCAGGAAGATGGTTTGGTGGTGTTCATCATCCTCTCTACATCACTAAGCGCTTCAGGAGCATGAAGGGCAAAATATATGTATCCTGCGAACAAAATGCTAATCACTTGTCAACATAAGCACAAGTCTTTATTCAGCTATTTAATTCAAACTGTCTTGGCAGCATTCACTAGCTATTATATCAACAAGTCAGAGACGAAAGGTAGCTTGTACATAAACAGAGACAACTCATACATAGAGTGCTGCATTCCATGTCTGCAGAGTGCAGAATACCTGCATTGCTGCCATAATCAGTCCAAACGTTTAAGTTAGTGAACGATACAAATTCGAGTATAAACCTCTTCAGAAAAAGAGGTTTTTGGTAATCTCAATCGCAAGATCATAAAGAACGATACTCAGAAGAGAAACTCGAATCAAAGGGCAACAGGAGCAGAAACAAAAGAAATTCACCGAGCGGAGAGAGTGCGTCAAAGCCGACCATCTAAAAGCCAGAGGCAAGACTAGTGAGACCGACTTTGAAGGTAGAGCGAGCTCTTCCTCGTGGAGACGCGAAAGAGACGGTATCAGCTCTATCACTTGCATCCACATCGTTCGACGATAGCCGCCGCCGCGCTCATCTTCGTCAATCGGTAGAGAATCAGGTGGTCTAGGGTTTGGAGTCGCGAGGAAACAGAGATGAGAGTGAGAGAGAACAGAGAAAGCTTCAGATCTGTTTTGTATTTTTGTTCTGTACAGAATTCCAATAATATCTTAATTTTAAAAATATATAAAACTAATGTGGATTTGTAATTTTGTATAGAATTTACTATTGACCTGCTCAACACTTCCCCAAGGACGACCAAACGGCGCAGAGAGTCTCGGTCAAATCCTTATATTTAATGACGGTCCGGCTGGCTGTCATTAAGTTAATATCGCTAACAATCTCCTTTTTGTTGCCGTGTATATATGAGATTTTGGATTTTATAGATGAATTAGGGTAGGATATGAGTACTGCTCTCATACTCTAAATGAGTATTAGTTAGGTCAGAAAAAATTAATTAAATCTCAGTGACCAATCTTGTAAATCTACCTGGGGATTTTTACTTCTCAAATTTTGAGGAAAGCTAAAGTGTTAATTTTGCTATTCTTATTTCTTCACATTGTTCATGATAGGAATTTAAATAATGTATACGAATTAATCACAAAAATATAAATATTAAAACATAGATTGTGGAAATTTTTATGACTATAATTATCCAAAACATTTTGTGTAATGTCTATTTTTTATCCAAAACTTTTTCAGATTTTTTTATATTATCCAAATCTACTAAAATTCTATTAATTATCTAAATCTTTCATAATGCATCAAAATATTAGCCATTTTTACGTTATCGTTAATTATTTTGTAACTCTTTTCTTAGTTAAATTACTAAAATTTTGGAATGTTGACCTTCATGAGTCTCTTGCAAGTCAATATCATGTTGCCAAGTCAATATAACGAACAAAATTGATAACTAAAATTTAATATTTGACTAATTCTTAGTATTTCGATAGGTTTGGATAATATAAAAGAATCTGAAAAAGGTATAGATAATCTTATGTAGAAGATATTGTAATAATAATTGGAACAATAAAATGAGTTCATGTGGAAAGTAGGGGATTATCTTAGGGAGATAAATTGACTTAAACAAAAAACCAAAATTCCATTGAAGGACAATGGCACCCACAAGTCCGGCCAGAAGAGGGGGGAAAAAAAGAAAGCAAGAATGCAATTAAGAAAAGGGTTGAAATAATATCACAAAGACACATTGTTCTGAATAAACATCCGATCAAAGACCATCGTCATCACCAGCGGCCAATACTCTGGGGTCATTTGGATCTAGGTTTTTAATTTGTGGGATTTTGGCTCAAATCACTCGTTTAAAAACCCAGGTTTTTAATTTGTGGGATTTGTGTGGGATTTCAAAATAGCTGATCACCATCAGCTATTTTATAATCCCACAATTGTGGGTTTCTGAAATCTCTAATATTTAAAATCTCTCATCATATAATTGCTTTCCAAACGAGTGATTTTAATAAAATCCCACACTATGTAGGATTGTGCCCAAATCCCACACCCAAAACCTGCATCCAAATGACCCCTGGGAATTAAGTACCACACTACTGATGAGGGGCAGCAGCGGCGCCTCCATCAGCCGGAACCGCCGCCGCAGCCGCCTGAGCGGCTTGGAGAAACCTCGGCAAGTAGTGTCCAGCAGCAGCACCACCTCCACCTCCATGTGCCGCCGGAGCAGCAGCACCACCATGCCCGGCGGCGGCGACAGGCACTACTACAGCAGCTTGCGCCAACCGAGCCTCCCACAACCTCACTCTCTCTTCCAGCTCTCTTTCCCTTCGCCTCTGCTTCTCCGCCACTATGGCCAGCATCTCTCTCCGAGCTATTTCTTCCTCATTCCCTGGCCTCCCGGCCTCTGCATCAAAGTTCCGGATTAGTCAGAAAACAGGATTTGTCTAATCACCGTACAATTTCACAAACACTAAACCCAATACATGACTAGCTACTTGCAATATCGAACTCATCAAGAAGACAAGAACACACATTCCGAAATTCCACGAGAAAAAGACACTAACCCACGATCTGTGTATACATCCTTCACTAGCTAGCCTTATGGTGGAATATTCGGCGGAGCTTAAATTCAAGCAAGCATCGGACAAACTGGGGGAGGGGAGGATTATATAAGGAAAACGTTTGACGAACAATAACAAACCTTCAGCAGGCTTCGACGCGTTCTCCTGTTCGCCGGACATGATGGATCGGAGCAACACAATCAACCTTGAGTTAGCGACGCCGACGGTGGTGGTTGTGGTGGCGACGGCGGCAGCAACCGAGAAGAATCCGAGATTTTTTTTTTGGGGGTTTCGAGGGCGCGCGTTACTCGTTATGGCAAATCGAAGGAAGTATGCGAAGGGAGTAGGCGATCTCTGGATTTGGAGTAACTTATATATATATAAGGTATCCCCGGAGCTATAAGGGATTCGGAAAAGGATTGTTATCAGTCCTTCTCTGGTTCGGATTCGGTTAGAGGGAAGACCTGCACTTATCGGGGATCATCAGTTAGCAAACGCAGTGGCTTTTCCTCCAAGTAAAAGAAGAGTAAGTTGGGTAGGGCTGGAAGTTTGGTACTGATATTTGAGATGTACCGAATACCGTACCGAATTTGTCTATATTTGGTATTACCGAATACATGTATTATTTCTTGGGATTGAGATTCAGTTTTCATTGTTATTCAGTATTAGGGATTACGAGATTGGGATCGGTATTTACCGAACAATACCGAAATATAAACTAGTGTATATTTTATCCTCTCAACTAGACTAGCCATCTGGAGAAAGACTTGCTATGTCACAAAATAAAACCCAGTTTAGTTTCTGTAAAAGAATCGGCCACATCGAAAATGTGTGCAGATTCAAACATCAAAGACCAGATCCACCTCTCCAGCAGCAGCAACAACAACAAGCCAACATCACGAGAAGCACCAAAAACAAGTTATTTTTTTCCAGCAAGTTACGTTGAAGAGACTCAGCAACAAGAATGGGCCATCGACAAGAAGTTTTTTTTTTTTGCACCCGTGGCCAGACACGACACTATCAGAATTCTTTTGGCGCTTGCGGCACAAAAAAGTTGGAAAACTTACCAACTAGATGTCAAGTCAGCATTTCTAAATGGCTATCTTGAAGAAGAAGTTTACATGGAGCAACCGGAAGGGTTCATTGACCAAAAAACGGAAAATAGTGTCTACAAGCTAAAAAAGGCGTTATACGGACTCAAACAAGCACCTAGAGCCTGGTATAGCAGAATCGACAACTACTTTACAGAACACGAATTCAAGAGAAGTCCAAGCGAGCCTACACTTTATATAAAAAAAGGTAGTCTCTGAAGATCTTCTTATTGTCTCTCTATATGTGGATGATTTACTAGTCACAGGGAACAATCAATAAGAAATCCAAAAATTCAAGGATGTCATGAAAAAAGAGTTTGAAATGTCAGACCTTGGAGAGATGAATTATTTTCTGAGCATGGAGCAGTGGCGGATCCAGGGGGTGGCCACCCTAGGCCCCGGCCCAGCCCTCTTCTGGATTCGTAGTTAGTATAGTCGTTATGAATATTTCGATTTTAGGCATTCGTTCCAGTGTTATTTATAATAAGATTGGGTATAACTAGAAATATGATTCAGATGAACATATTCAAATCACTACTCTAAATTTAGCCTAGAAATTTCAGCCCCAAAGATTATGCGTCTAAAAAAACCATAAAAAAACCATGAAACGTAAAATTCTAAAAGTTTAAAATGAAAAATACTAAGAGAAATATGAGATTTGTTCCCTTAAAAATTTACTAGAGTAGTTGGTGGATGCATGGATAGACACAACAATGCAAATTGATTAGTCGATTGATTTGTCTAGTATTGATGTCGCTCATTTCAACAGCTACTACGTGGAGAACCTTTTCAACAATGAAACATGCGACAACTGATTTGCTCAACAAATGAGCGATGAATTTCTCGCCGATTGCTCTGTAGACTCCATTATTAATGCATTCTCTTAATTAAAATACTATTGGGTACAATTTAAATTGCAAAAAAACTATAATCATTATTTTTTTTTACGGTTGTAATTTTCTAATGAAATTCGGCCCAGTGCTTCTCTGTGTTCTGGATCCGCCGCTGGCATGGAGATTCGTCAAGAAAAGAAGGAATCTTTATTTGCCAGAAGAAATATGCTGAAGACATCTTAGGGGTCGTTTGGATCCAGGTTTCCTAAAACCTAGGATTCTGTCCACAATCCCTCAATTTAAATACCTGGGTTTTTAATATGAGAGATTGTATTAAATAACTTGTTTGTTTGCAAACCTAGGTTTTTAATGAATAAATGGCAAATACAATTTTGCCCTTTTTCTTCGTTCCAACAATCAGAAACTAAACCTAGAACCCATAAATCTAATACCAAATCACAATTCCTAGATCCCGACGGGTTGGGAGATGATGAAGGATGTTGTAGCTGTTGGGTCAGTGTCATGATGGCGATGAGAGAAGATGGATCTGGATCCTCAATTTTCCAATTCCCCATCAAGTCGTTGCGGGCGCTGGGAAGAAGCATCAGCCGCCGAGCTTGATTCTTCCACCAGGAAGAAAGTTTCCCGTCGGAAGGATTAGCGTTGGAAAGAGGAGAGGGGAAATCGATTGATTTTGGAGCACTCTAGCATCTAATGGACTCGTCTCCGGGAGCTGTTGACGGTGAGCGGAGAAGCAGAGGGCGTTGACACCGACCCAGAAATCACACCAGGTCAAAATCTGCAGGCTAAGAAAGCAACACCGCCGTTGAATCACCATCAACAGATTCGCGAAGGTGGAAGGGGCAGACTGGGCGAAAAATTTCAGTGACGGTCGTGGCCAGACGATTGTTCATTCTTGTCGACAGCTTTGAAATCGCCAGGAACACGAACCAACACCGAAGGGAGCAACCCAGAACCCAGACCTGGATTTCCAGAGATCACATGACAGAGGCTAATGAAGAAGGTTCGTAGGGACGAAAGAGGGGTAAAGATTGGAAAAGAGGAAATAAAAACGAGAGATTTGAGAATAGCTGATCCCCATCAGCTATTTTGAAATCCCACATATGCAGGTTTTCGAAATTACTGATGTCCACAATCTCTCATCTTTACAAACGCGTGATTGTTTTAAAATCCTGCATAATGAGTGATTGTTTTAAAATCTCTAACAAATCTCTCATTACAAACCTGCATCCAAACGACCCCTTAAAGAAATTCAAGACGGATAAATGCAAGCCAATCGCTACACCATTAGAGGCAAATCTAAAATTGTCAAAAACAGATGGTTATGCATTGGCGAATGAAAAATAATTCAGAAGTTTGGTAGGTAGTTTACTCTACCTAGCAGCCACTAGACCAGTTTTGATGTTTGCAGCAAGTCTGTTGTCTAGATTTATGTAGGCACCAAGTTGAGCACACTTTGGAGCTGGAAAAAGAATCTTGAGATATTTACGAGGCACTGCAGATTATGGAATCTTCTACAAGTCCAATTCAGAAGAAGGACTGAGAGGTTTCACGGCTGGAAGTGTTGATGACATGAAGAGCACTTTTGGATATGCTTTTTTCATTGGCTTAGGAGTTGTTGCATGGAACTCAAGAAAGCAAGGAACAGTTGCACCGTCAACTGCTGAAGCTGAATATATAGTTGCTTCATCAGCTGTCAATCAAGCGATATGGATGAGAAAAATTCTGTCTGATTTGGGATGTCTCAATCCGGAAACTCGGAAACTACAACATTTATTGTGACAGCAAGTCAGCAGCTGCAGCTTTGTGGCTGGGGATGAGAAAGCTAGCGCAACAGGGATGGTGATAAAATTCCAAGCGTAGAACTAAACCATTGGTTGGGAGCTTTGTTGGGATGCCAAACCCATTAGGCTTTCAGTTTGTACAGGTTGGACATACCATACTTTGTATTAAACCATTGGTTGCTTAAATTGGGAGTCGTCATGAGGATTCGAAACCATGACCTTTTTGGTTCTAGGCTCTGATACCATGTTAGCGAGCTAACCACTTGGCCTCAATAGTTCGAGTTGTTGGGAAATGGATAGTTAAGCCTTTTAACCTCTTATAGTTAGAGATCATTAATTATCGGGTAAGGCAATATTAACCGCTTTCTCCTTGTGAATCCTCGCTCTAGGAATTGGATATGGACCTGCTTTAATATTTCCCATCTCGTGGTGCTAAGAAGGTTAGGATTCATAATCATAATAAGGGTAAGGTAACAGGAGGGGTTCCAACGATTAATCGCTAGTTGCATGACGATGTACAATGATTTAACGAGAAGCTTGCCTTTGTTAGTGGATCACAAAGGAATTATTATATTTGAAATGGATAGTTGTGCGTGAAGAGGAAGATCTCAAGCTTTGGGAGGAAATCAATTTATGTGGTAAATTAGTCTAGCTTTGGCTTTATATGCCTAATTGAGTAATAGGCCACGCAGTAGGGTAATTCACAAATGATTGACATCCCTCTGCATCTAAATGGTCAAGGGGAAATGGAGCTTGCAATCAGACTTCAAGCAAGAACAGAGGGTGACGGGAAGGATGCCAAGGTCAACAACCTTAAGGTTTCGACATGCATATAAGGTGCGTGGTTAAAGGGGGGCTAGAGTAGTTTTCGTTATCAGTCTATGCATTTAAGTTTATGTTATGCATTTTAGTTCTTGTTTTATGTTCAATCATTTCTTATATGCTTTCATATTATGTTAATTATTTGCGTTCATTCTTTACTTTACGTATGCATAGCATCATGAAGCATAAGTAAACTGTGTTATGAGTCAAGCTACTACAAGTTCAACTACAAGCTAATTACGTGCAAGTTAACAAGTTTAGATCTTCCCATTGTGTGGGAGATCACCAAACTTCTCAGGCATGCCAAGCAAGCGTAAGAACTATCAAGTTAATATGTACGAATAAGTAAGAACATGTTTAATCCTCGCTTAGCTAGCTACGTACGCGACCACCTCCCTTCCCATTGTGAGGAAGTATTTATCAAGTTTATCAGGCTCCCTTCCCATTGTGAGGAAGTATTTATCACGTTATCAAGTTTATCACGATTACCAAGTTCTGGTGGTCGGATGGTTGCGCTAGCTAAGTTGAGGGTGGGGCTCATTCAAGATAAAAGTTGCAACCTAATCTTCCTAATAACGTATCCAATAACGTAATCAAGCTATTGCATGTGCATAATTGTGTGTTAATGG